TGCTGCACGACTTATCATAAAAGTGAGAACATGTGACATGACGTCACCCAGATACTACGAGAACTTCACTGGCTTCCGGTTAACGACCGCATTATGTTTAAAATTCTGCTTTTCACCCATACAGTTCTACTTCTCGTAGCACCTCTTTAAATATACAAGACCTACTAACTATTTACTCTCCGACACGCAACCTTAGATCGTCCTCGTCAAATCTACTTGCTGTAACTTTCTCTAATTTGGAGACAATATAGGGTGTGTTCCTTTGGGATGATCCGGATCAGAATCAGTGATGCGACATCACTCGGATCGTATGGTAGACCAAATGAACCAATGAATCCTTGTCCAGAGTGGATTTATCAGTTCATTTGATCTACTATATGATCAGAGTGATCTCGGCTCACTGATCCTGATCCGGATCATCTCAAAGGAACGCACCCAGGTTACCGTGCGTTCTCAGTCTGTGCTCCAAAATTAAAAATTGGAACTCTTTGCCCCTTGAGTTAAAAATTCCCATTCGGTCGATATCTTAAAGAATAATTTGAAGACACTTCTTTTTTTGAACATTTAGTTATTATTTACTATGTTTGTTTTTTGTTTTCCAAGTAAACTTTTATTGCCCTTTTTTCGTACTTGATGTTTTACATGTAAATTTGAAAGTTTATACTTGTAATGTTTAGTTTTTTGGACATACTTTGTAAAGCGCCTTAGAACTCTAAGGAGGTCAACAGCGAATGACTCTGGGGTTGTAGTTCTTATAACTGCGGACGGATGTAAACAGTGACGTAGCTTGGGGGGGCTTCGACTTCAGCACAACGTTTACATGAAGATGGTCACTGATTGGTGTGTTACGGACGCCGCTGCTGGAGGGAAAATTGAGCTCGAGGAAACTAGTATGATGTCGAGCAAGGTGCTTGTTGTGTCTGTGATCCTCGTTTGCGGTTTAATTAGTTGCAAAAGGTTCATTTCACTGATGAATTTACTCAGAGCTTTGTACTCCGAGGAGGTTGCTTTCTAAGCCGATCTTGCGAGCCCTCAGTCTCTTGGTTTGCGGTATATAGAATGTGTAACGAAACTGTAACGCGATCAAATCAGCCATGTTTTCAAAGGTTTTCGACGGGTTTTGATGTTCTAACGACAAACGCATCTCCTCTAGAGACCCTGTGCAAGTATTTGATAAAATAATATTACTAGATAATAACATTACTAGAAATAATTTTATCAAGGATACCACAGGTGAACCTGGGTGTATCAGGTATCCAGAGAGGATATTTTGTTGGTAGTTTAAAATTAGGGGGAATATCAAACTAAAGCGACACTGCAACTTCGATATAACGAAGAGGCTAGAGAGTAGCGAAATGTGTTTGCATTAACCAGGTTTCGTTACATCGTGACTCTTTTCGATTTATTTTACTATTACTGCGGCCAAGAATATCGTTCGTTATGCCGAGGACTTCGTTAAATAGAAGTTCGATCTATCGAGGTTCCATGTTTTAGATAAAATAGTGTTATTTGTTATTATTTTATCAAGGATACCACTTATTATTCTACTCAATGGAAGATGCGGTGGAATTCAAGGCAACGAAGAATTCATAGAAACAAACTAANCAGTCTCTTGGTTTGCGGTATATAGAATGTGTAACGAAACTGTAACGCGATCAAATCAGCCATGTTTTCAAAGGTTTTCGACGGGTTTTGATGTTCTAACGACAAACGCATCTCCTCTAGAGACCCTGTGCAAGTATTTGATAAAATAATATTACTAGATAATAACATTACTAGAAATAATTTTATCAAGGATACCACAGGTGAACCTGGGTGTATCAGGTATCCAGAGAGGATATTTTGTTGGTAGTTTAAAATTAGGGGGAATATCAAACTAAAGCGACACTGCAACTTCGATATAACGAAGAGGCTAGAGAGTAGCGAAATGTGTTTGCATTAACCAGGTTTCGTTACATCGTGACTCTTTTCGATTTATTTTACTATTACTGCGGCCAAGAATATCGTTCGTTATGCCGAGGACTTCGTTAAATAGAAGTTCGATATATCGAGGTTCCATGTTTTAGATAAAATAGTGTTATTTGTTATTATTTTATCAAGGATACCACTTATTATTCTACTCAATGGAAGATGCGGTGGAATTCAAGGCAACGAAGAATTCATAGAAACAAACTAACGACACCCTGTCCGCCTTTTTAACTTTCTGTCTTTTTGTTTCATTCGTTAAGTTTTTTTTTCTCTAATTCGTTCAACTAGGTTGGGTTTTAAATTCTGTTTCTTTCTCTACAGAACGTAACAAAATTCATACCATACCATCTACGTCTGTTGATAATAGAAGATATGGTAGCGACACTAATTCAGTGTCATGGGTAATGACGGTCTTTATTGGAGGGGGAGTAGTGCTTGTTATGGCATTTGGCACTATCGCAATCTTGGTTATAAAATTACGGCGCGTGACTCAGACCAGAGACGGATCTAGAGGCAAGTTCGTAAGTCTTGAATAATTAAGGAAAATCATTATTCACAAATTAAGTTCATTATTTAAATCAGTCGAGTGAGTAAGATTTAAATTTCTAGTCAAAGAGGAGCTCGCTCTAACAGAAAACGCAAAAAGGACAAAGATAACTGATGGATCTTTTTCGATGGTAATACAGTTTGGTCACCGTGAGAGAGAAGAACTTACTCACTGTAACTCACGATAACTCACTAAAACTATATCTTATAGAAATGGCGTGGTTGTCAAAAGTGTGATAAAAATGTCACAGTATAGTTACTGGGCAAAACTTACTTTATATCCTCCTATTAGCTGTTCAAATAGAACGTATCTTTCAGTTTAGTACGCCCTTTTTGAATATTTTTTATCTGTTCCTTTTTTGCAGATGCAAGAAGTGAAATTGCTGAAAGGTAGGCAAAGAACTGCCCAATGCCGGCTCACTGCACCATTTTTCGGATGTTTATCGCCATGTCATTGTTAAGAAAGATTTTTTCACTCAGATTTGTCTTATAGTTTCACCATACTCCCGAAGAACCCTCAAATGTAATAAATAACCCTAAATGTAATAAAGGTCCCAAGTGTAATAACTTTTGGCCCTTAATGTAATAAAGGTCCTAAATGTAATAACTTTTGGCCCTAAATGTAATAAAGCGTCTCATAATATTATATGTGTAATAGGTTTTAGCCCTAAATGTAATGGAAGTCTTAACAGTATACTGCATGTATGTAACATAACAACCCCAAACTTGATAAAGTCCTTGACTGAAACATGCGACGGTCTGATGCGATATTAATTTTATAGCCAACTGGCGATTACCCGGGCGATTCCCTTTCTTCGCCCTAATGTAGTCTTCATAGATATTCATAAACTTAGAAAGCGGCTAGAGCGCTCAAGAAGTAGGAGAAACACTTATAAATTAACTACGTCTCGATCGTGTTTCCTACTGATCCGTACATCGTAAAACGCGAGTTATAAACAACTGGAATCTACACAAAAGTTTTCAAAATACAGTAGTAATTTAGTAATTGAAGGAAGTATTAATGTGCATTAGAACAGTCGTTGTAAATTAACTACTTTTGCCTATGGGGTTTTTTAATGTTGCACCAAAAAAAGAAATGTTTTTTTTTTTTTTTATCATTTTCCAAAAGAGTATGTCGGTCGGTCCATACAGAATGCTGTGAACACGAAGTTATCTCTAAACAACAAGATATTAAGGCCGGTATATCTTGATAGTTTTTCGGACTTCCTGACTTTGATTTTAATTTCTACCAGGAGTACTTCTTGAAGTGAATTTTTATGCTAACTTTTTTTTCCAGGATTTTACCACATGAATAATAATAAGTTGTTACTCAAATGGCTATATAGGGGATCTGCCTGGTGTATTTAGTAATTCTTCCCTAGACACATTCATGCGCTCAGTTAATCTGTAATAAGGCTGAAAGCCAACACTATGAAATCTTCTTATGACCATAAGCATAATAAGAGCTGAAAGAATTACACTTAGGACCCTATATTACATTTAGGGCCAAAAGTTATTACATTTAGGACCTTTATTACATTTAGGGTTATTTATTACATTTGAGGCCTCAACAACATCTATTGTCAAGAAATTTCATGCTCTAAAGTGCTGCATTTTGAATTCAGGATTCAGCTTGAAAATCAGAGCAGCGCTTTGAATCCAACACAGAAAGCAGTGGCCACTCGACTCAGTGGGATGTCAGATGAAAACGGAGATCATGGAAGACTTGACGTCCAAACAAGACAACAGCCACGCCGGACGGTTTGCGAATACACCATGTTGAGTCAGAGTACAATGGTATGTCCAACTAATTATGCCAAGAATTCAAAACTTAAACGGCAACACATAAAGACGAGAAGCCTCTAGGGCCATTGTTATATCTTTTCCTAATAGATATATTCTTTAATAATTTAATTGTTATGGCAGTTAGCCCTGTTCAAACCAAGCTTTTTCCTCTTACTTCCTGTCGCCGGGAAAGGAAGGAGGAGGGAGGGGGGAGGGGGGCTTCGGACGTCGGAGGGTCCCATTTTATACTTTAAGACCCCGCTTATGATACGGTCACCAAAATTACACAGGATCGTGTGCTCAGCATTTCTAATCAAGGTATACTTTGATTGACGCAATGACGTAATGCACATGATGTCATCATCACGTCATAGTATTCAACTTAAATTTTTTTGGGGGGTGGGGTGGGGGGCGCTAAAAAAAACTCCTCCGGTCTGAATTGGATTTAGTGAATTATTCATTGTATTATACTAACTGGTGGGTAGTGTGATGAGTTCCTGAGAGTCTCTCTTGCATCTGACAGTATGACTATTAGTTCTTTAACTGCTTTAATTTGTTATTGCTTCATCCGGTAATTGTTACTTCATTTGGTTTCCTTTTCTAACTTATTCTTTCCTCCATTAATTTTACAGACACAAAGTGAAAGAGTCTACGCGTCACTTGTGAATCAGTAAATAGTAACAGCAATAGACCCTGTAATAATTCGCCGATATACGTTAATCAAAGATAAGCTTTCCCTTCCTCCCCGGTTTACTAAACAACTGATATTTCGCGGATTGCATTTTAAGCCTCTTAAAAAAATTTAAATGATCATGTTGAACTTTCGTTTATATTTCAACCAGAAATGAATGTATCAATGAAAAGGGTTTTTAGAGCGTTCAGGCTGAGAGTAGCAAAAATTTTGAGCACATGCCGAGGTCGTGAGACTCAATTTTAAGAGAACGGGTATCTATCTCCCGTGTCTATAGTCCTCTTTGAGGGTCTCAATGGGGTGGTGGCTTTTACGGTTATCGGCTAAAATTTTGGCTCTTTTACGGCTATCGGTTAATTTTTTTCAGTTACGGTTAACAAAAAAGTTAAAAATTAACTTCTTTTGTTTCAAAAAGTTAAACCTGTATTTTTTCTATCTTTAAATCGAAATAAAGGTCTTCGGATCATCTCGGGATGAAACAAACTATTCTTTTGAAAAATTTTAACATTTGATAGATCATACTTTTTATAAAGTATTTCACTTCTAATATTATTTTACACATAGAAATGTCAATAGTCAAATTAAAAATAATCTTGTGAAAAAGCAAAAGCGAACACGCAAACGTCCAACTCAAGGCCGGGGCGCGACATTCATTATAACAGAAATGGCCGTGTTCACACTAGAGACGTATTACTCGTGTGAGACGGGTTATCCGTTTGATGATTCGTGTCAGATAGGTATACTTCTTAATTTGAAACTGGAATAGTTTTAATTTTGAATGAGCAATCCGCCTAACTTTACCCGTTAATTTCAACGGACAGTTTCAAGACGGGAATATCCGTTCCAGATAGCCGGTGTACAACCCTCCCACCCTTCCCCCTCCCCCCCCCCCTTCAGAAAAAATCGGAGAAGGGGTGTCTGTGGGGAGGGCGCGACTCTACACACGCTAGTCTCAGACGGATAATCCATCTCTAGCTCTAGCGTGAAAACGGCCAATAACAATATTCCCGTGTCTAGCGAAGGACTGTACGGAACGACTATCTGCCGTTGCCTTGTCCGTAGGCCTCATTATTCCGCGCAGCTAATGTGTTTCGGGTCACGTGGTCCTAGCGAGTTTGCCACCGAAATGCCTAGACCGAGATTGCGTGGGAAGACGCCGTACAGGGACTAGGCATGGCAATGTCTACCGTAGCCGGCCGTAGCGTCAGAGAAAAACAGGGGAATGTTGATTATCGGCAACGTGTTTTACAAACAGTGACATCTCTTTGTGTTGTTTCACTAGTGTTTTGAGGGCACGACCTCCTTAAAATCTCAAATATTAATCCCCAGCAAGAAGCCAAACTTTCGCTATGGAAAAAATTAGTTCCCCGAGAGAGTGGCGGAAATGGAGCCAAGGTCTTGGTCAACACCTAAAAGGCGCTTTACTTAACGTGCGTACGGAAAATAAATAGCCGGGAAATAAAAAACGCAACCATAAGTGAGTTTAGTACCTTCCTTAAAAGTAGCAAATCTAAGGAACAGTTTCTTTTACGGTTAACTCTTTTCTACTCTATTTACGGCTAACGGTTAAAATTTTTCAATTTTTTCGGCTATCGACTAACTTTTTGGCCGTTTTACGCCTATCGGTTAACCCCATTGAAACCCTCCTCTTTGTGCGACTCAGTGGAAGGCTGTAACTGAAAACAAAAAACAAAAAAAACGCAACCTGAGAGTTGATGGAAAGACGCATTGTTTTCCCTAGCCCATGCACTTTCCCCTTCATCTCGTGTGATGTGTCTTAAATTTCTGCTTACGAACAAGACGTGCCGGCCCACAGATTAATTAAACCCCTTTGTATATATCGCACGCTATTCTGTTTCGCACGGTATTAATCTGTTTCCTTCAGTACTTTCGCATCAAATGTCGGTTTTTTAGCTAGTAGGAAACATTATCATTAATTACCGCTACAACTACAACGAAAACGCAATTGTAACCCGAGTAGGAATATAATCATGGAAAATTAAAACGCACGCAGTTCTATTTTGTGTGCTTGTCCTCGCTGTTTGTTTTGCTTTGTCATTGTTGGCAATGAGCAAATAGAGCTCGACTGTTCCCCCGCTCGGTGACAACAACATCATATTTATGACAAATGTCTCACAACTCACTTCAGCACAATTATCGGAGGGGTCAAGTAACAACACAACAGTTTGCTCTTTTCATTTATAGCTTCAACGTCCTGTTTTGCTTTAAGATACTACTTGAGATACAAATTTTAAAACCTTTTGGTTTTACTAGACTCGTCTGTGGATATCCATCTCCTAAGCTCCGATGAGCGTAAAACTTCCTTCATGGTTTCAGCCGTCAAATTGAACCAAAGTTTAGCATAAAATAAGCCATACGTAAGCTTTCAGGTCTGAATAAACAACAAATGTAAGTGCGAGAGCTGAGGCACTACCTTAAAATACAGAGACGATCACCTTGATCGTGTTATTTTACTTTTGATGTTGACTTATGGCGAACGAACGTTTGTTCTCGATCTCAGTGTTAATACTTCCAGTCCTGTGTCTACAAGTGCTCGGCATTGCTGGTAAGATAAGTACGGCATCCTTTTTAATTGTATTGTACATCCATTGCGCCAGTACAGGTGATAACTCCATTGCAGTTACTAAGACAATCCCGCATTTCAAAACTCTCCTAATTGATAGGTGCTTAATCGATATCAGGCGCCAAAACAACTCAGACTTTAGTTTCCCACAAGTAAACGTGGTTATTAAAAGTAACGAATCAAAGCATCTGTCTGTTTAAATAGAGTAACGCAGACCTATTCTTGGAGTTTTTGTTGCCAAATCCTGACGTTGAGTTTTTCACGGGTAATTATTGGGCTACGCGGTACCTTACTCGTACGTATACGGAGACAGCAACAAAAACGTCCAACAGCAATTAAGGTAATTTTATGAGCAAACCATGAACTCTGCTTTAAACTTTTCTGTAAATTTCTATGTCGGTTCTGTACAAAAAGGATATGAAATGGCCAAATTCACAAGTTTTCATGAGGGTGAACGGCCGGGCGATAGATTTTTCAATATCGTAAACTATCGCATATAACCAATATTAGGGTCTTACAGAGAGTAGTTCTAAAATAACAACAGGGTTTGAGCGAAGACGTAAGTGCTTAAGCTGAGGCACTGCCTTAAAATACTGAGACGAACACCTTTAACGCAATTTTGCTTTCGGTGTTATAATTATGGCGAACAAACTTCTTCCAGTGAATGCACTCTTTATAGTTATGGGCCTGTGTCTACGATTCAAGTTTTAGGCAATACTAGTAAGATAAGATCTAACCTGGGTCATACAATAAATTCCCTATTATTAGGTCATTTTTGAAAACTCGTAGCGCAGCAGCTGTTAAGAAAATTCCGCCGGCCAAAAACGCCCACCCGATGACGTGTTGGGCCAATCCTATTTTGGGTAGTTTGACAAAAATTTTTTGTAACTTTCTGACATGGCGCTGAAAGTAGAGAATGAAGCACTAATTAAAATTAAACTTGACGTTAAATCAAAATTAATCGGTGCATTGAAAAAGCATATATAACTTGTATCGTGCTTCAAGTTATAGTACACTGGATTGTTTTGGTAGTCTCTCCTCTGTTTGAAATGCAATTTTTTGTTCCTCGGCACGAACCAGTATATATAAACAATCAAGCCCCGTTTTCACTTTTAATGCCATCTAATTTTCTTCAAACACGAACCCCCTAAATCACGGTTGCCGTAGCCTGCGTAGCAAGCGTTTCCGTGCGGTTTAGGAGCAAAGAACGAGGAACGATAGTTAAAGACCGCGCGAAAAATGGCGTAAGTAAAAGAGCGGGGAGGGGGTGGGGAAGAAAGGTAGGAAACGCTTGCAGACAAACCCCATTTTGAAAACCGCCCACTTGGCCTGTCACGCCTGAGTTCGCTCACCGACATTTGATGCTGTCATCAGCTGTCATAATTGACCAATAAAATGTTTGGCTTTCACTGGAGCGGAAATGAACTTCAGAGGACGCGTATGTGAACCCAAAATATATATTTTTTGTATTTTATAACACATGGACGGCGTTTATGTTGAAATATCAATGAATCCGAACGATCAATACAGGCTTTGGAGATTTGTCTTTTTAATCCGTCTAACAGAACAGTCTGTAAATAACCATCTGAGAGAATTCAACATCCCTCAAAAACACACTAACGAGCTGGGCCAGCATGACACATTGCAGGAAACCATCGCATTCGCGGGCAAAAGAAAATCGCTTTCAGTTATTCAGATCCAGGACGCACTTTGGAGAATAAATTAAACGACCGGAAACCTTATCTAGTCGCAAGAAGAGCCTTACGTTTCAAAAGAGGTCAAAGAAAATGCTTTGCAAATCCCCGAGAGCAAATCTTGTCCTCTCAGTATGAAACAAGCCTTTGATCGACACATGTCAACGTTGTTCGACTAGCCGAGCCAATCAGGCGCTGCGTTCGCTGGCGAACGCAGGTTTTAAAAATCGAGCGGTTTGTCTGCAAGCGTTTCCTTCCTTCCCCTCCCCCTTCCCCCACTTTCATTTTTTGGCTCTTGTTTCATTTCTCGCGCGGCCAAAACCGAGAATCCCTTTCCTCGGTCTTTCCTTGCCCCGAAACCAAACGGAAACGCTTGCTATGCAGGCTACGGTTGCCGTGAACATACATCGCACGGTGTCAATGAATGCTTACACCGTTATGCTATTGCTTACCTTAAAGAGCTTGTTTCACTGTAATTTCTCCTCTATCAACCTCGTCCCCAGGGCTTTTCCCTTAAAAAATGGGTGGGGCGGGAAAAGGGTATCAAACGACTGCTAACAAAGAAAGACTTGGGTCCATTTAAAATTGACATAGCTGTAGTTGATTCCAATCGATCGGTCAATCTTCCCTTTAATATAAGGAAAATCCTTTGTACTTATCCTCGGAAGAGAAAAGGTATAAGAGATCTTCAAATGTTTCAGATCGGCGAAATGTCATCGTTCCTGGCTGGAGGGCTGACTTGCATCCGGCGCGGAGATTTGTTTGTTTCATGGTCGGGTTGTAGAGAAGACCAGACTCCATAAAGTATTTTGATGAACAATTCTATTTCAATTAAGTTCAATTTGTTTAAATTCACTGCAGATCCTAGAGGCAAAGGCCCGCCTTTTTTTGACATTGGACAAAATCACTTTCCGCTTGATGATCGTACAGTAATTCCACAGTCACGATGAATTTCAGTCGAAGTACTACTCGACAACAGCTTGTCTCAACTCTGAAGCATTTGACATATTTTGTACGTGACAACGTAGAGCCGGTACGCCCTTTCATAAGCTCGTAGCATTTGAATAATACGCAATTAAATGGATCTTAAGCTTTTGAATCGCACAGACGCGAAAATATTGCAAACAGTTCGCGATATTATTATTTTCCATTGTTGCTCCGTTCGACTTCTGTCAGCGCAAAACCAGCGGGTTGCATATAAATTAGCTTCTCAGGAATATTTACGTTGTGCACGTGACCAGCCGATGCCAGGGCCTTTTCCCGCCCCACCCATTTTTTAAGGGAAAAGCCCTGGGGACGAGGTTGCTCCTCTATTTGAACATTAAATCCCATTTATAAAGTTTTTGTTTTTTAATATAGAGCTCCCACTTAGTTTAAATATAAAAATAATTCTCTTGGACTTGTCTGTGGAATGAACGCGGAAAGGAGTTCTTCTTGTACTTTCGGAATACCAGGACGCGCCTTTAGAACTTAGGGACTGTGCAATAATTACCTGGAGGGGGGAAGTGGGAAATGGGTAAAATATGCCCCAAAACTAAGTCATACCCCCCCTCTCATGAAGCAAAAATTAATTTCAACCCCCCCTCACATAATCAAAATATTAAGGCTAACAAACCCCCGCCTTTCAAATGACTCTTCGAAGGGTCATTTGAAGAGTCAGCAGAATCACTGGACTCCGAGCTTGTGTCGTCTTCGCATGAATTGGGAGATTCCTCATCTTCTACAGCATCTCTGGCACGCACTAAGGTTCCTGCGTGCGTGGGTGAGAACTCAGGAATTCCTGTCTGATTGAGCTTTTTTTTGAAGCTCAATTTAATCATACTCTCGGCTTTATTTAAAATTTGTATTACTGTTAAAATTTCAACAATTGGGTTTTTCATTCTGCTAAATTATATAATGATGCCATGTGTGCTAACTTGGCATCTTTCTTTTTCACTGAATAACATTTATAGTGTTGCTTTTGCAACTTTTAATTGAAGTTTCCTTTTTTATTAAATCCTAGTGCAAATAAAGTAGCACTGTTTTAACACGGTACCGCGGTACAACTCATATTTGTATCCTCGAAATTAACGAGAAAGCAGATCGTTTAGAAGAAACATAAGAATTAAGTTATCAGGTAACGTTAATCCTGTGCATCTGCAAAGGATAGGGAAACTTACAGTTTGTGTAGGCTTTATAACAGTTTCACTAACTTTCAGCTGCCCTTTCTCGATCTTTAAGTACGACAAGCGTATCCACAAGATTAGATTAAAGGCGCATTTTATTTTTCTTATGCGCCTGGGAGTGCACGGTCTGCAAAGTGGAAGTCGACATTAGAATTTTTCTTGTGTTTGATTCAGTTCGTGTATTACTCACCCTCCGATTTTATGTGCCATATAACTGTTTACCAGAATCTCGATCATAATTAAGCACTGATAAGATTTACCAAGTCATTCAAATAATCCGTGTCTTTTCAATCTTTTGTATTACGACTTCAATTCTAAATCCAGGTCCAGCCTTTGATTTTAGCGGAAATGTCTTATCACGTTAGAAATTTTTTGTTAAATAGTTCAGTGCGACAAAATATACATTTGAGTATTGCTTTCTAGAATCACTGTGAAAGACTGTACTGGGGATAATAACAACTTCACCGATTATTAGGGAGGAATGACAACTGTAAGCGGCAAATAATTGCAATTATTCATTTAACACTTGAAGACTTACTGTTTACAATGTATTACAACTATTGCATGAAACTGATTTTTGTTCTCAGCGGCCATCATATCTTGGATGCCTATGTGCTGCAAAAAAAAAATACCTGAGTGGCTCTTGGTATAGTGTACGTAACAATAATTAGTACAAAAAAATGATAATACTATAACCACCTTTTTACTTCCAGCACCCCTTCATGACCCATTGTCTCTTGCCTTTGTCAACCTCTTATCCACTTCTCTCCACAGCCATCACCCCTCACTCCCAATAATAGACGCATTCCTTTGTAAATTTACTATTGACTGATTGCAGAAATAAAATAATAGAGAGATTAGGATTCACGTTTACGCCAAACGGCAAACGTTAATTTATACCACGTGACCAAGTTTTTCCCGATTGTCGTTAACTGTTTATTACTTCAACTAAAAATAAAGTAGTCTCACGCCAGTGTTATACATAAGAAAATTATTGTTCTCGACAGATTTTATCTGCTTATTTTCTGAGAAGGTCTCAACTTGAATCTGACGTTTGCAGTTTTTGCGGAAACGTAAATCTTAATCTCTCTAATATTGGCATAATAACTTTGGTATGATTCATTTTTTTAAGGCCTGGATTTTACTTTCAATTGCTCTGTTTACACATTTCATATGAAGTCCCTTATCAGCTGGGAAAAAAGCAAGAATCTGTGTGAGCAAAATGGTGGCAAGCTTGTTTCCATGGAACGTTTAAGGGCTGAGTTAAACTTCCTAGAAACTCAGTCAAAAACCCGGAAAATGAACACTACTGAATATTACATTGGATTGAGGAAAAAAGGTCAGAAATGGATATGGGTTAGCGATAACAGCACATTAGAGGAAACTGAAAGAGTTAATTTTCCTTGGGCTCCAAGTGAGCCAAATGGGAATGGAAATTGTGTCAAAATGTGGCTCCAAAAAACGAACCCACGGACTTATGTATATGACGACGTTGACTGCAGACATTCTACGTCTGATATTGGATATATCTGCGAGAGAATCTCCACACTTTTGAAATGTGGAAGTAATGGTGAGTAGCTAGAGACAGTTAGTTATTATCAGTACATCATGTTTTCTATGATCTCTCCCAGCGGCTGCTTGCTTTAGTACAGTTCACTAAATAAAAACTTTATTTGATTTGCCTACTGAATGTTGTAAGTCTTCCAACATTCAATACATGATTCTGTTAAAACAGTACCGAGAAAATCGTTCATATATATGCACTCATAGTAAAATCTAAAGACTTCTCTCAACCTGAGAGATTTAGTCAAGAAGAACCTTAACCTGTTATGGAAAACCGTCAAGTCAAATAGGTCACATGTACTAAGAATGAATACCGTCGACAAGTTTCAAGTAAACACACTGAATGATCTGCAAAGGTTATCGTAGTCCCGTATACATATTTTCACTTTATTCTCTCTATATTCTACTCAGTGTTTTACCCATAGTTGAAATAAGCGACGCTCTTGTATAAGCACCGCACCTATAACAGGGAAAATGAAATAAACGCCGCGGCGCTTAATTGATCATTTACGGTAATTAACTGAGGAAGACATAAACACCACCACACCGATAGAACCCAAAAGAAAACGGGATATATAGTAGCTGTTGGTATATTTTTGCTGATCGGGAACTCTAAAGATCCTACAGCTTTGCGGCATTTTCATTTGCAGTCCTTTGCCGCTAGTTTTGTACTCCATTTAGCGAAACACGATTTGTTACATCTGCTGGAGCGAAAAATCATTTGACGGTATACATCCCGGTATAAAATGTACGATAAACACGATAAAACAACCTACATGTCCTCTAAATTAAAAAATCCATTAATTAATACACCAAAGATAATCACTTGAATACTTTATAAATAGTTGTATCCTGAATTAATTCATTATCTTAGTTTTTTGATGAACAGCTAAAGCTTTCCTTTTTTCAGTTTCACCGCTGCTCACTGTCTCTTCCAAATTGATTACAAATATACTAATTCAGTCACTGTGGCTGACAACGGAGGTTCGTTGTCGAATTCAGTGACGCATGTCGTTTTGCAGGCGTAGATCTTCGTCTTTGCAATTTTCTTCCCAGAGCCAACGAGTAAGACACCAAAGCTGCCGGAAAGCACGACACCTTCCCCAATCGATAGATCATCCGTTACGACAGCTACAGTGCGGCGGTCTATCGCCTCTCAGTCAGAGACTCAATCTACGACCAAGGATTTTACTGATTATAAGCCACATACAATTAAGGGCTCAGCGACAATGGGAACAAGTAAGCCAATAATACTGTAAAGCTTAAGTACTAGTAATTCCTGCTAAAAAATGGAAGTAATACGTCCTGTACAAGTTGTACTGGCTACCATTTTTACGTGCCCGAAGTCACTGAGTAGTCTTTCGCAGAGCAAAGGCAGTACCCAAAGGTGGTAAACTAACTCCGTGATTTGTTCTTCAGATCTGCCGACCAGCGCCGGCCTCTACATTCAACCTTAACAAACCATTTCGTGTTAGTCCTAGTGGTTACAAAAAGAGGTGTATATGTTTTTATAGTAGCTGGATATTTTAACATCTGGCAACATAGCTAGCATCCTCGGAGACCCAGGGGCAGTCAGTCGGGTTGGGAGAAAAGGTGGGACGAACGTTTTCAAGTACGGGCAAAAAAGCCCCTGGGTATCGACTCTCACCCAACTATTTCCAAAAATACAAGCGGATGCCGGCTCCTGATTGGGCACAAAAAATGCTTTGTATTATTGTGCCCAATCGGCGAACAGTTTCTCTTGAGTTCTTTTCGTGAGTTTTTACACGACGCCTATTGTTTCGCCACCCTTGCCGGGTTTGATCACCAAGCTTGTGGGTGCAAGGGAAACTTTTATTTTCTACTTTCCTAACTGGAAACGAAGGAACTACCGATGAGTCGAAAAAACGTTTGGGATGCTTTCAGTAGGAACAATTCAATTTGCCTCGAGAATCAGATTCTGTTTTTGACGGATCACAATGTATCGTGAATAATGGGAAGTTTAAGATGCGGCGGCGACGAGAAAGTCAAATAAGCAATAGCTTGACAAAGCAAAACAACAAGTTTGCACGTGCATTCACTTTTCCATGCGACGTTTTCGTGGCCGTGTCAGCCGTCGTGGTATCTTTTAAAAACTCCCTAATATTTACGCAAGGCGTGACCGATTCAAGCGTGAATACCTGTTGTAAGCTCAAGCTTGTATAGTTTTTGGATAAGCGTCTTTAGTTTTCGGGCAGACAGTGATTTGAAATCAGATGGGGATTTTATATGAAACTGAAAGTTTCCTGACTGCGTGCATTTCTTCGGTGCCTGAACCAGAGAAGCCGTGATCGAGACAGTAGCCGTCGCGTACAACTCACGAAAAGAGCTCAGGAGAAACTGTTCGCCGATTGGGCACAATAATACAAAGCTTTTTTTGTGCCCAATCAGAGCCGGCATCCGCTTGAATTTAGTGATTTTTTTTATAATTTTTTTCCTAAAGGCGGCACAGTGGCGGGTTAATAGCCATGACTTTGAATTCGTACATTTCCGCCCTCCTTTCTTCCATATCTGGCCAACATTTCATGATTCAAACTATTTTAGGTCGGAGTCAATGGTTCAATAAATGCTGAGAAGTTTTGGATAATTTTTTTAATGTTTCTAATGAATAAAAATCAGGTTCCAGGAACGTTTACTATTATGGAGAAATTGGGAAACTGAGGTCTCTTCTTAGTCCAATACTATACGTCTTATATACAGCTCCCCTTCGAGATATTTTACCTAAACACAACGTTCAGTTTCCTCGGTATGCAGATGACACTCAATTGTATCTGTTTTGTGAATCGTCTTCTCTCCAATCCAGAAATCAATCGGTCCAAATTATTCAGTTTTGCACGAAATATATTGATGAATGGATGACAAGTAACAAACTGAAGCTGCCAAAGGCAAGACCGAACTTATATTAACAGTTATAATTAACTCAGTTATCGACCTAAAACAGAGATAGAAAAGTTCTGACAGAAGTCTTAGCACTCTTTCCTGATCAAGTCCACAGTTCCAATAATGCAGCTCGAAATTAATATTGGTTTCATCTTTGATGAAACGCAGCCATTTCAGCATGACGTTCCACATTCGATAAATTGCCCGTATTCGAAGATTTTTATCTGATCATGATGAAAGTGTCAAAACACTTGAAAATGACTTTTGTGCATGCATTTGTCAAGTGTAGACTTGATACTTGTCATTATTATACGCGGGATAACCTTATCCAGAAACTTCAAATAGTCCAAAACTGTGCTGCACGACTTATCACGAAAGGGAGAAAATATTAGCTAATATTACCACATCACCCCAGTACTACGAGAACCGTTCACTGGCTTCGGTTTAACGAACGCGTTATGTTTAAAATTCTGCTTTTCACCTATATAGCTCTACATCACGTGGCACCTCTTTACATATACAAGACCTACTAGCTTTTTACTCTCCTACACGCAACCTTAGGTCGTCCTCGTCAAGTCTACTTGCTGTAACTTTCTGTAATTTCAAGACATTATGGTGACCTTGAGGCGTTCTTAGTTTGAGCACCAAAATGAAAAATTGGAACTCTTTGCCCCTTGAATTAAAAATCTCCCATTCGGTCGATATCTTAAAGAATAATTTGAAGACGCTTCTTTTTAACAGAACATTTAGTTAATATTTACTAATATTTAATTTTTCGTACTTATTTTGTAAAGCACCTTAGAACTATAAGGATTTTGGCGTTATAGAAATTGTAATTGTAATTGGATTTGGGGGTCAATGAAAATTTAAAAAGTAAAGGGAAGAATTTGTAAAACAAATACCAGGTAGCCTAAAACCCGTGCAAGGTACTAGAACAACCATTTCAATACTTTACTTTATTTCATTCTCAGTTCGACCCCATCCCCCCCCCCCCACCAAAAAAAAACAACAACAACAAGCAGATTGCCCCCTTAAGGTTAATTACCTGGCTACAATTCGGGTGTTTCCTTAATGTTCATACGTACTCTTTAGGAAGTCACTTGTTTTTATGAGCGTTTGCTCTTCAAGGAAACCTGCGGGTAACTTACAACGTTGTCATACGCTTGTATAACAAGCGCATTCAGAATTTCTTAATACTAGTTTACATTTTTTAATGAGTATCCAGCTTTTATGAGGAATATGTTTACTGTTCGCCATGCAACGTATAATTTGCGAGGTACCCATATGATGACTCTAAGCAAGCCTAGAACAACAACCTATGGACTACACTCTTTTTCTTATTTTTCCGCCCAGAAATGGAACGATCTTCCCGGCGAATTAAGCGATGTGTGCAAAGTCGCAGTACGTTTGATTAGTTTTCACTAATTTTTGTCTTATTTTGTGTGTATTTTTTTTTTTCAGTTTTTAGAGGTCTTAATTTGTTTCTCGAAGATATTAGCTATATAGTGTAGCTACTCTAAAATTCGAGTTAAAATAAAGGTTAATGTATGACGTATGTATCTATGTATGTATGTAAACAAGAGAAACGCTTTTCCAATCGGGCTTAACTTCGGATAACACCCAGAGGTCGCATTTTGGTTTCTCTAAGTTTATAGAATAACTCTTAAATTCTATTTCATTTGTCTGTTTCCTTTTCCAGCGGTATTTCCGGAGGGCATCGCCGATGAATCTCCTGATACCACCACAATCATCTTAATCCTGTTAGCCGTTATCATACTAGTTGTTTTGATTGTATTTTTCCTCATTTTTTCTCGCCGACGTCGCAACAACAAGGCAAAAGGTATTTTTCGTTATTCATTATACTGCATAATATCATGGTTTCTAAAACTGTGATCTAATCGCCGAACCCGGCAAATGATGTTTTTGATTAGACTGATGTGGATTGAAAATATGGGGAAAATGTTAAAATATACCTAAATGGTGAGCTTCTAAACTGTCTAGTGCAAAAGTTTGAAACCAGTTTAAAGAAATTCGCGACAGATTCGCTCTTAGTTTCTTGAAGTGTAAAAAAGCTTTGGTATTTCTTTGCGATGGCCAGTTCTCTTTCAAATTTTTTTTAATATGAAAACAACATTTTTAGCACCAGCTTATGATGGTCTGTTATTACCACAGTTTTTTTTTCCTTCACATTTTGCATTTTTTCTTTAATTTGTATGCATATCAAGAGTCTTTGCACTTGGGTTAAGTTCACACAGATACATGTAGTGCCTCTGCGCTTAAGAGATCGATGCAGCGCAGCTCCAATTGGCTCTATTGACCACTCCAGAAAAAACCATAACATACCATAATGCTCTTTGTTTGTCACCCCAAAATTTTGCAGAAGCATTGTTTTCAGTTTCTCTTGGGAGTTAAGATGGCCCAAAGAGAAACTTAAAACAATGCTTATGCAAAACTTTGGGGTGACAAACAAAGAGCATTATGGTATGTTATGGTTTTTTCTGGAGTGGTCAATTACAGAAATCGCGCCAAATTAAGTCACCGATCTTATATCCATGTGAACCGAATAGAAGCCCTATCCAGTATGGTTTTCGTCCCGGCGCAAAAGGTATCCAGTATAATGTGAACTTAGCTTATAAAAGTTATCATTCTCTTTTAAGTTTTTCATGAGTTGTTTTTTGTTTAAGTTTCGTCTTCAAGAAAACAATCCAGTGACCAAACACACCACCTGCATAGCTCCACCGAACTTACAGTTCATTTCAGCATGTCACAAGCACGTGAAGAACGTTTGACCATCAAGACAGTTACAGAAAACAACGAAGAGTACACCTATGCCGTTGTTGATGAGAATAAACGAAAATCCAAGTGTGATCAGGGAGGTCCATCCAGCTCCAAAGTAGGAGGAGTTCAACCGTCCTCAGAGGATGAGCACCTTGCTGCAGACCAATCAGCATTGAAGGAGAGTACGGAGATGTGTGATAAAAGCAACGATCAGGAGGAAAAGGGGCGCCACGTTTACGCGAACGTGCTTGTTAAAGAAAACAAGGAAATGTTTTTTAAAACAGCAGTTTCTCGGGATGATGGCCTGGACGTTGCCTACACAAAAGGCAGCTCGGCTATGGGTAACGATCCTGTGGAGCATTTGAATCGTTCATCTTTGGAACAAGGAAAGGAAATAAACAGCAAGAAGGCCACCAGTGAACAGGATCCAAATAGCGCAACTGACTGCAACGATCACTTTTATGCAGCTGTTGACAAGTCAAAAAAGAAACGAATGGCCCCTAAGGTAAGTAGTTCTAAACCCCTACTTTATAATTTCCTATCGATCGCTTAGTTCAAATCTGTGAATGATCATATGTTCAACATTACCTTTTTTTTAAGGATGCTAAGGGAATTTTCACACACTTTATTATATGTAATACAATATACAATGCAATCAATCAATTTATTTCTGTCATAACGTGGGGTAGGGTTGCCCCGAGTACCCAAGCCGGAGGCACATGTATAAGACGCATGACAAAAATAATAAAAAAATAATTAATACAATACATGAAAACTATAAAAATTTAAAAAGTTACAAGTATATAAGACAATTATAATAAAAAGTAATGTATCCGGAAATGTATATGTAAGAGGTAAACAAGTACAACACCCTCCCTCATCCTTAAGAATAAATCGATGTTGAATATATGATAAGCTAAAAAAACCCTAAGACAAACAATACTTACATTTGCAATTGGCCTTAAGGGCTTTTACATATAAAGCATAATGATTCGAAGATGCAAGTTTATTGTTCAGTGTTTTGTTAATTCCTAATCACATAGACTTTACTAGACTAAAATATTCAAGGTGTGGAAGTATATAAGCCTCGTACAAAATAAGTGAGATGTCAGCAGGCACCAGCTTTCTTAGTCGTCTCAAAGCTCCAACCTTGGCTAAAGGACAAATTATCGTCATCTACTTCGATAACTTGAGAGTGCTATACCCAGAATCAATGAAATCCAGACATATTAGAAGAAAACAAAGTTTTAAAAGCGTCATAAAGCTGGTCAAACATCAATTTTTCTAAGATTTCAGTATGATGGGATTGACACTTGTTTAACGATAATTACATGGAATGGTTATGAAGACCGTCAGACTCCTTTGCTATAGGTTTTTGCGGACTTGACAAAGCACAAAGTTCAATAGCATTCCTAGCATTTTGATGTGGTGTTTGATGCGGTTAACGACCAATGAATCAACATATTGATAATATTCATTCATATTTTGCAAAGATTTTGCATCGTCAATGAAACTTCCTTTAGTTAATAAACTGCAGGACTTTTTTAAAATCTTGTCTTGAATGTTTTGTTTTTGTTTTTCGATTCTTTTATTGTTATCATTATTATTATTATTATTGTTATTATTATTATTATTTTTTTTTTCATACAGAAACCTCTCCCTTACTGCAGTGGCCACCTCATGTATGCAGACATGAGCCACTTACCGACCAACAAAAACGGGAAGGTTCACAGAGCATGCGCTTCCACGGTTTACGCTGACATCAATCATTCGGCTAAGAGAAAGGTGAAGACCGGATTTAAACCAAGGCTACCAACAATGTGAAACATAAAGTACATTACGTTAACCCTTGGACGTACAGGGAAGCGGAGGGGGGAGGGGGGGGGGGCGGGGGGGAGAAGGTGGTTGCTACCCCGTCTCTGAAGTTTTTCTGAGATTTTTCCTAGACAATCAAACATCAGCATATGACGTTTTCAGTAGCTGTTCGTTTATACCTCGCACCCATTTTGAGTGAAGTTTGTTGATGGTCAGTTACTATGGTTACGAGATATGACGTCATAAGCAGCAGGTGGTCAAGCCATTTTTAAGTGAAAATGCATGTTTTTTCAACTTCTTTCAAAAGTGAAACTTGTGGATAACACGAGGCAAAGAACTTATTTATGTGTTATTTGTTTTTCCATTTAGCAACACCATGCTAATTAAAAGTTACACGACACTTGAATAAAGTTTATTATTATTATCATTATTATTTTACATGTCAAGCACAAAAAATTACCAATCCCCACGGTTTTGATCTGATTTCTAATTCTTGGTAAAATCCAAGATGGCGACCATGTTTGGTGACGTCACAGGTTTCCAGCAGCGCCTGACCACCCATAAAATATACCCTATCTTGCTGAGAAGATTAAAGGCTTCCCACTGAAAGTAAAATTGTTTCGACATACTGCAACATATCAAAAACTCTGGGGAGAGACTCCACCGCTTCCCTCCCTTGGAGGACATTGCGTGTACTGTCACAGGGTTAACAATGAATACCATGTAATATGATGATGGTGCTGTTTAGTAGGGCCATGCATATGCTTACATCAACTAATGTTTAGAACGCTAAAAACTACATATGTTAAAAGAGCAAAGACTACATAAAAAAATTAGAAACAGGAGAACAATTAAAAACTATTTGAAATTCATGTTTGATCTTAGATTTAAAATCAGATAATAAAGAACTGTCGCGAGTGTATCCTGACTTTAGGAGTTCCAATCAAAGATGTCCTGATTTGAAATAAGAGGTTGTTTCGACTACGAATAGTCCCCATTTTTCCTCAGGGAGCACATCTCGTCTTTCTCGCGTGGGGTGATTTTCTCGCACGCTCGCGTTCCGCGCGCTCTACTACCCCTGAGGAAAAATGGGGACTACTCGTAGTCTAGAGGTCGTTTGACCCACTTTAATATTACACGAGGTGGGTGAAAATCGTCTCTCAACACTTGCTATTGTGAATCCAGTTTTTTTAACTCTTGAAGATTATTGTACCGTCACACCTTTTTTTAGATAAAAAGTCTAAATGCATGTTGTATATTGGGGTTGTTGTTTGTGTTTAATATAAGCTCAGGATTTCAACTCATTTGAGTTTTTGCTGGAAGTCGCTGTGAACAAGATACGATAAAATAAATTGAATTGTTATTAAAATATTTGAAGACATAACAATTTTATGGAGTAGTGTTGCTGTGCTGCATCTGGGATATTTCTAACTCTGGCAGAATCACCGTTTGAAGTAATAAATCGACGTTACGACACAGACACGAGATTATCTAAGCACCACCAAGTTTGAGTTTAGCCTGTTTTAGGCGCTCAAGGCTGGGTTGTTCAATACAGGGTTACGATAACCCGGGGTTAGTGTAAAATTTCAATTCAGATATGAAAGCTTAAAAACAACTTCAGTTTTATTCTGTTTGTCCACAATTTGATAATTTGATGCTCTAGAACAAATCGAGAAAATTATCCTCAAAAATGCTTTTAAACAAAAGAAATAGAAACCTAGGTTAAAGTTTCACCCAGCGCTAACGGGATCCAAAACATAATCAAGATTACTCCCAGTGTATTATCATTCTTTAATACATCAGTAGGATGGCCCTTTAATAAAACCAACCTTTCTTTGAAAGCCTGAACTAACCCTACTTTTGACGAAATCGAGAGGTACTCTGATCAGAATTAAAGTGATGCTAGATTACTTTATTATCAAGATATGCCACTTTATAGTAACGGAAATAACAAGTACTACGTAATCTTCCCTTCCCACTGAAGCCAGGCCGCTGTGCTGAAGCCAACGAATGTGACATAATCACGCTTGATTTTTGAATTTGCAAGTTGCGCGTCAGTAAATACTAAACAGAGTCAAAGATTCAAAACATTCAAAAATAAAATTCAATTACAGAAAATTCGACTCGCGGTCGTGGACTGATAACTTAGTTATAATTCCACCTGTTATCATTTGTGCAAACCGTCTTATATGTTTAAATGATAACAAAGTAGCCAGTTTAAGACTAATGAAGTCTGGGAAACTATAGGCGGGGATTGGCGGACAGAGCACTTGAAACTAAAAGCATTTTTATTATAATGAGCATTTTTGGATTGTAAATGAATCAGACCAAATTTGGACAATTTTATCCCGTTTCACTTCCTTCACCGAATTACCTGTACAACTTCTGTAAGATATGCTAAAAATCTCAGCACTTAAGTTTCACTATGGTTTCGGTGATTGCTCATGTGAATTGAGTGATATACTTAGGAGAAAAATGAACATAACAAAAGACAGGTAAATCAAGCAATTTTACGAAGCTGAACTTGATATATCCGTGGTCCTCTGCTTTTTACGCTTCATTGAGTTGAGTCACCCTGCTACAAGCTTTGATCCTCGTTTGACAAAAGTAAACATTTTAAAAAGCCAGTTCGAAAATGAAGGCAGTAAATCTTTAATATGGAAAACGCCTTTTTCCAGTTGCGTTCTCCATATATAGAATATTCTAGTGATTCTAATGACGTTTTATTCGACTTCCGTTGTCGCCCTGCGAACAGCGCAGTACACAAATACCTACACTCCTCTATAAGACCGGAAGTAGCGAAGTCGTATTTCATACATGTACCTGAAAGATTTACATCTAATTTGAAGTATATTACTTCGTGGAAAATTGTAAGGAATTAGACGATGCACCTGAAGAAAGCTACTGTACTGATTCTGTTGGTATGGAAGCTGATGTGCCTTGAGGCAGGCAAGTTCATCTTAATTTTATATTTTACTCCATATAATCGAACCATCTCGATGTCGAAGACGGTTATTGATGTCGGACGGTCTGTTCATTATTTAAGGGAACTTACAGGCCAAGAAAAAACATGAACTCGACAAGCTTGTTGTACATATCATGCATGGTTAGTGATTCCTTTTAAGTAGGTGATGATGAATGAAAAACGAGTAAACTCAACAAAATTGAAAAAAATGAAGCCAGTAAATCTTATAACCTCTTGAGTCACCTGTAGCAATAATCAACCGACAAGGTGAAGCTTTATGTAGCTTCTTCATTCTCGTTTAATGAAATTTTGATTGTTATTACCATTACCTAAGAGTATTATTTTTACTTTCTAAATAAGTACTTTGATACGAATTGTACTTGTACTCAAATGTAAAGTCACGCAAACGAGGTAAAAGAATCGCGTGACTCTATCCAGAAGCAATCATCTCGTTATTGGCTTTTCGCGTGATGCAGTGGTCTGCTTCTCATAGCTATGTTTACTTTGTCTTGGTGGAATCGACAAACTAGTGGTAGTTTTCTCTTCTGGTAAACAGGACAGTGAGTGTTACGTAGGTATATGTAGAATCTTTTCGTGGATGTTAATATGTAATTGTGAGAGACTGGTACAAACAGGCTTTTAATTGTCATTATAATTATAAAAACTCACAATGTGAAAAGAGATATCCTAAATAAAATACACGGTTTATAAAAATCATTCAAAACTTATTTTAAAGATGTCCGCATTTCCTGCATTTACACTACTAAAATCGTCAAAAAAGTCTGCATTCTTGAAAAGGGGTTCTAGACCCTCGTACACATGGGTGGACTGATCTTGTGAGAGACTTGAATACCGATCACGCAAGGCCTTGTTTTGTTGGACATACGTCTTTGCAGTTGTTTTTGAAAATACCTGAATTGGTGAATTGTTTTTGTAAAATTGCTATTTGTCAAATTGGTGGTGTAACTTTCCTGTTTTCACTGTTAGTGTCTTAGTAGCCTGCGATCATGCCCTTTCCCTTTATCTCTGTAATGTGTTTTCGGGATTTTTTCCCTTTCGAGCCAAAGAAGCAAAGAAGCAAAAAAATAATAATAATAATGCCTCATTTCAGGTTAGTGTTTTAGCTGATCATTTTTTCTCCTTGGTTAATTGAAATTGAAACCTTCTAACCACTCAAACGTAAAAGTATAAGTAAATCAATCAATTAATTAATATTAACGTTAATTATTAGTATTAATTATGAATTTTAATTATCAATATTAATATTAATGAATGAAGTAAATTAATTAATTGATTAAATAATATTGTTCGTATTGTCCGTTCCATCAGACCAACCCAATGGTTTTTATCTCTAGCCCGAAGTCTTTCCGTCATACTCACTCAGGCCATTAACAAATAAGCGACATTCGCAGCGACTCTACGCGCGTTCCTCAATTTCATTGCTTTTCACAAAGAAGCTTCGCTTGGGTGGTTGAGTTTAATTCAAATTATGTTAGAAAATTGTCCTCGCTGTTTTCTTCCATTGTCGGCAAATTTTTTAAACAGAAAGGGCAGGAAATAATAACCCATCTTATCACGTCATATCAAAGTAGAGATGTGACTATAAAGAAATGGAGGGATTCTGAACCTAATAGAAACAGTCACTACGCCCTTATTGCTAAAGAATGGCCCACAGGTTCTTATGGGAAATTTGACAGCATAAGAAACGACATAAAAAGAGCGTGGATATGCGAGGAAGAAACAGGTGTGATTATCAATTTTATTTTTAATTTTCAGATTCTTGTGGTCCAGCTAAGTTCTTTGCAGGTCTACACATAATTAATGTAATCATTTAATAAGGAAAGCGAGAAATGATGACGTTGTGCTTGCCTATATGTCTAACTGATCGATTGAAGGCCCTTTTGGCAGAAAGCTACACTGCAGCTGAGGAAAGTTTAAAAACAGTGCTTTCCAGTGCTTTAGGGATTCCATCACAGAATCTTTATCAAGTGATAGGATTCAACGTTTTTTCAGGTGATTCCTATTGTGAATCAGGTGATAAAGTGATTCGGTAGATTGCAGTTGCTCGTCACAGTCGTTGCAACCGTACCATTCTGCAATACATACAAGTGCTATCACTTGTACACATGTACAGTGTACGAGAGTCACGCATCCCGAACGTTCACCAGTTATCGCGATCAGAATGTCTAACTTCTACACGAAAAGCTGTCCAGTATAGTGCGAACACGTAAATATCCGATATGTGACTCTCCAATTTACAGATCAGCGCCGCGCGGCTTCATGCACAGAAATCACACTTACGTCCGTTGTTATGTGTGAACAAAAGCCCTATATATCCGGTATGGTTTTCGTGCTGGCAAAAAAGTTATGCAGTACAGTGTGAAAATAGCCAAAGTCTAACACAAAGAAAGACAATACGAGGTTGAAAAAAAACTAATCAGTTCAGCATCTCACAGAAATGGGCGTGAAGTACCGCAATAATTAGTAATATGAACAGGAAACATACATATCGAAAATTATATTAGGGTACGACTCCCAAATAAATGCCTTGTCTGTAACTTCTGGGCCTACTTTAAGCTAAACTACTGAGTATCGAAATAATATGCGGGAGAATTTCCAACGACTTATTATGTATATTGGAGCAGGTTGATTCAGCTGCTATCTTTGGCAAGAACATAACTAGAAACAGGGATCATGGTTTACCACTTGTATCCGTCTTTTAGACAAGTTATATTTCTTTTCGTTTAATTTTGTTTGTTTTTTAACGCAAGACATCTGTCAAGGGGTTTGTACGCATCACAATCCAGCTGCAACAACAATAGCAACGTCAGGAGTAACCGCAGCCACTACGAAAAAAAGGACAAGTTTCAACATAGCAGATCCTACTTATTTTTCTTCAGGTTTGCACAGTTATATGTATCTTTAGTACCTTCACCGCATGTTTTATTAAGTCATGCCAGCGTCCATGATTCACAGACACATACTTCAAACCACGTAGATGGATGAATGGATGGCTAGATAAACAACTAATCAAATAAAACAAAAAACTGATACAAATTAAATCAACTGATTTAATATCTGGAAAAAAAGAAGTATAACTTGCCGCCGGTGGTCCTTGACTCTGACGTAATCATTAGGTGATTTTCTATTACTGAAGCCTAGTCGTGCAATACGCCCTAGAAACCCAAGAAGTACGTAATCAGATATTAACTATTCTATTCTTCTCTTGACAGATATTACGACTTTAGCGAAAACGTCGAGTTTAAGTGAGCGAAAAACTGCAAAAAAAGATTCATCCACAGTTGTCATTGTAGCAGCGTCTCTAGGAACAGTGCTATTTGTTGCACTAATTGCACTTGCTGCTTTGGTTTTGCTAAAGCGAAGAAGGCGGCATAGTTTGAAAGGTGTAAATGATTTTCTCATAAAATATCATCTGTTAAAAGGTTATGCCATCCGCATGATATCTCTATGCCATACAGTTTCCATCGAAAGATGTCTACCATGCTTGAATTAAATTTCAATGACTTTTTCCGCTCCAAAAAATTGGTATTACCTGGCTGCTTCCTTTGTAGTCGTCACTCAGTCCAGATTCATATTATAGTTAAACGCCTAGGCTATAAATCTTTTCTCAGCTCCATATTAAATCGCGTTACTTAGGCTTCAGTTACATTAGAGGACTTTTAAAAAACTCCTTTCCCAACAAATAGAGATTTACATTGTTAATTTCACTATCGACGTCTCAAATAACTACGAATCGGAATGCAAATCTAGCGCTTATCGTGACTAGCCGGTGTAGCGAATCTCGCCGAGTCTAGCTTGGGCAAGGATTTTAAATCTTGCGCCCTCCCGGTACATTTGAACAAAACATGAC